AAAGAAAGAAAGAAAGAAAGAAAGAAAGAAAGAAAGAAAGAAAAGAAAGAAAGAAAGAAAGAAAGAAAGAAAGAAAGAAAGAAAGAAAGAAAGAAAGAAAGAAAGAAAGAAAGAAAGAAGAAAGACACAAGCTTCCATTCTGGATGCCAATTGGGCTGACCTCTGGAAACATCAAACTCAACATTAAACATAGAAGTGAAATCTAACATAAACTCCTTCCTCAGTTCCCACAATTAGGTAGGGTCTATCCCAAAACTAAATCTCTTATTCTAACCCTATTCTGTCCCATATGATAGCCATTAGTACATGTGACTACAGAGCATTTAAATGTAACTAGTGGAGGGCACCTAGTGGATCAGTTGGTTAAGCCTCCTACTTTGGCTCAGGTCATAATCTCATGGTTTGTGAGTTCGAGCCCCACGTTGTGTTCTCTGATGTCAGCACAGAGTCCCTTTCAGATTCCCTCTGCCTTTGAGCCTCCCCTACTTGTGCTCTCTCTCTCAAAAATAAATAAATATTAAAATAATAAAATAAATGTAACTAGACTGAATTGATAATGAGTATGAAATACACATTAGAGTTTGAAGACTTAGTAAAAAAAGAGAGAATATAAATAATCTCATTGATAATATTTTATATGGTTATATGTTATGATCATATTTTGAAAATATCTCATTAGATAAAATATATTAAAATTAATTCCATCATTACTGTCTTAGTCAATTATATCTGCTAAAACAAAACAGTGCAGACTGGCTAGCTTAAACAACATACATTTATTTCTCACGTTTCTGGAGGCTAGGAAGCCCAAGATCAAGGTGTTGGCGGATTCAATGTCTGGTGAGGGATCTCTTTCTGGTTTGCCGACGGGCCATCTTCTTGCTGTGTACTCACATGGAGGAGAGACAGAGAGCTCTAGTCTCTTCCTTTTTTATAAAGATACTAATCCCATCTGGAGATTCCACCCTATGACCTCCTAAATATAATTACCTCACAATGCCCCAACTCCCAATACTCTGTATTGGAGATTAGTGTTCCAACATACGAATGTTGGTCAGGGACACATTCAGTCCATAACATTTTTCTGTTTTACTTTTTTGATATGGCTACTAGATCATTTTAAGTGAATGCATGAGTCACATCCTATTTCTATTAGATAATAATACTCTAGATTACTCATATACTTCTGATGCTCTCATAGAAAACTAATTCATTATTTTAATATCCCCCGGCTCCTATATGGATTGTTATTATTCGAGAAAATCCCCAAAATGACATTTGATGTTCATCTGATCAATTATGTTCGAATTTTCTTTTACATGGAGAGAATGGTGAAGTAGCTTTCTCTTTCATGACCCCAAAACACAATCAAATCACAACTTACAAATCACCTGTGGGTAAGACTTCAGTTGACCAACTTCCCTCTAAACAATGGATCCATTTATTCATTCATTCAACAAATATTCTCTAAATAACACCTAAGTATCAGTTACTCTTCTAAGTTTTAGTGGGGGGGAAGGATAAAAATCTGAACATGTAACAAAAAGGTCTTATCCTGATGGAATATAGAGTTTAATAAAGGGAGACAGATGGTAAGTGAACCAAAAGGATGACTAGAGAATTTAAAGTGGATCTTGAGCAAAATAAGTTATGATCTGATAGTAACTAGACATGGTTTCTTTTAGATGGTTTGAACAATGATAATTTCTTTCTCAAATTTTACAAGATGGAAGCTTACATTATGTTTAAAAAATGACTTTATTAGTTTAAAAGATGTATTAAAATACAATAAATAATTTCAATTTTATTTATTTGAAGAAACAATGAGAAAAATTATAGAAAATCATGTATATGGAAGTAGAGTTGATTGCCACTGATATTCCAGTTATGGCTACTGTGATTTTAGAGCTGGTGTGTTCAAGCCTACAGTTAAAAAATTCAAGGCTGACCAGCTTCTTAGCTTTATTTTGAATTGCAGACATAAAGTAGAGGATAGGTTACAGTTTTGTCAGTGAGTACAAAGGAATCATACCTCTTGGCACTTTTAAAAGTGTTTATTAATATTTAATGTATCTGTAGGATGCTTTGAAGGATATAGTTTATACAATTAGAACATCTACAAGGAATGAGTCATAGTACATGAATCATGTTTGTTATCTGTTTTGAAATTTAAAATCACTAGCAGGTTTCCAAAATGCATATTCAAGTTCTAAGGAAGATAGAGGACAAACCTCTGATGGGTAAAGAAAATGATGCCACAGATCACACTTCAGAGAAAAATAATATTTCTTATAGACTTCGATGTTGAAATCATACAATAATTGCAAGGAAAGATTTTCAGTGGATATGACATCTTTCCTTTGGGTTGGCCCATGAGTTGTCTATGAATGGTGTCAGCTTTCTACTTGTGCCGAAAACATTCAGTGGTTCAGTGCCAAAGCAGTTTTGACAAACTTTTTCATTGGTGCCAATTCTCATGATGGTGTGCTCTCAGCATTTGCCTTTGAATTTCAAATGGTTGTAAAACTCCAGGGGTTCACACTCTGTGAATGAAATGAGACAAGAAGATGTCAGCAAAACTGTTTAGCTGCATTTCATCATTTTTTTTTCCTTCTTGGCTCCAACGTGGCTTGAGACCTGGCGTACTGTATAACACAGTAAAGTGTTAGACAGAAAGTGCTAACCCAGTCAGAAACAGTGAATCCTACAAGGAGAAAGCAATAAGCTACCAGAAAGGCATTGCCGACGCCTTGCCATGCCTCCAGGCTTAGAAAACAATTATAAAAATGGTACATTTGGAAATCACTATGTCCCAGGCAGAAGCAATAAATTGACTGAGTTAATGTACATGATTTGACTACTGATAGAAACATGAGCTATATAGCAAGCACACCTCAACAAAAAAACCACAAGAGTACCCAGATGTTACTCAAATACACAGCTGTTCGGCACTGCATTGCCAATATTTAGTGATTTTAATTCCCTAGCCCTTACATTGTTTTATAGTGACAACAGCAGCCACCTTATTCAAAAAGCTTAATCAATATCATTTCAATAGTGAGTTAAAAATGCCACAGTTACACTAGCTTCTGAGTGAAGCTACTTTATGTTGAAGAATCTAATCTCTATCTTCTATGATATATCCATGATTCTGCTTTTAGGAATGATTGAGTTTAAGAAAAATATAATATGGATTAGATTGGAGTATAAAATAAAACGATATTAGAGGTTTTATATATCAGCTTTCACTTAGGATGCTGAGATAAACATAAATGTGTATACCACCAATTCAAGTGGCTTTTCTGTTTGTCATTTTAATTTAAATATAAAGAATGCCATCCAGATGACATTAAATTACATTAATACCATGCTACACTTGCGGTGTTCATTTGTTTTATTTTTTTGTTATCTTCTCTATGAATGCCTCTGTCCACACGTAGTAAGTGGTTGGCCAAATTACCAAATTCTACAATTGTTCACGTTGGTACAGTTTACACTTTCCTTCCATATTTCAATTTAGTGTGGTGGAGATTAATACCTTAGATAATATATCTGGAACACTGTAAAAGTATATATTTTCAGTGAATGACTCAATTCATTGAAGGAACAATGAAGCTATATGAAAGCTGTCTTGGATGTAGGACAAAATCATTTAACCTCTGCCGTGTCTTTTATAGGATGGTGTAGGTTATGGAGTTGCACTCAGCAGCTGATTGCAGAAGAGTAATTAGGAAAAGAGCCAATTTGCTATTCATAGAACTCTCTCTGAAGCAAAATAAAAGATGTGCAGACTTTCTTTTCCACTGACCCATTGCAAAGATACTGTAAATACCTTGCTCTATTCAGTCCCCTTAAGAGAGACCTGAATGGTGAGATTCAGTTGTAAAGATTCACCAGTATGTCAGCCAAATGTACAACTTATTCATGTTGCCATTTTATTAGATGGGGAAAAGATTATGGCAGATCAACATTTTCTCAAACCTAGGTATCAATTTTTCCTTGGTCCTCCTATTTCTATTTATGGACTTTCATTACTTTCCAAATATATTCTTTCACACAGCAATGGAATTTGATCATGTAGCCAATATATCTCAGCAGATTTTACATGCATGACTGCTATCTTCATATTGATCTTTTTAAATTGCTATAATACTTTACACTGTGTCTAAAGGCACTCAATGTTTCTTTTATTATAATACACAAGGGAGCCTTGATTTTCACCTCCTCTTTTACTCTCATCTCCTCTGTGAGTTCTTAGTCTTACTTCTCTTAGATAACAGAATTGCACATGTGCATACCCTACATCTTGTATGCACAAAAGCGATGTTTCTCTTTATTTCTTGTAAGGAAAAGCTCTCATTGCCTTGAGTTTCCATTTTACTCCCAAGGTCTCCCAGGTCCCCCAAGTTAAAATTGGTTCTTTCATACTAACTCAACCTCTTCCTAATAGAAAGTCATTAGAAGGTAAAAACAATTTTTAAAATCATATTAGAGTATTTTTTCCCGATGAAGCTTACCCTTTGCCCTCCTTGAATCTGTCCATAAGAGAATGTTTTTATGTGTTTGTCTAGAGATACATTTGGTACAACTGCTGTCCTCTGAACTTCTAACAGTCTTCAGGGTCTAGGTCTGCTTGGGCCTCTTCAATCCCTATCAGGGTCTGGTATCCACTGAAGGTTGGCTACCTGTTTCCTGTGGGTATCTTGTTGCCACACTTCAGAGATCCTAGTGAAGAAGCCCATCTTTGTAGCTCCTATATTCTTTTTTTTTAAATATTTTTATTTATTTCTAGGAGAGAGAGAGAGAGAGACAGCATGAGCAGGGGAGGGTCACAGAGAGAGGGAGACACAGACTCTGAAATAGGCTCCAGGCCCTGAGTTGGCAGTCAGCACAGTGTAACTCCTATATTCTAATCCCAGACTTTCGAATCTACCAGTTATCTTCAGGTATTCCATGGACTCAAAAGAGCAGCACATCTCAGCCCATTTGTCTGCATCTTGTTGGTACCTGCAGACTCTGAGAGACTGTTCTCCAGCCCAGCAATATAGACACCTTCCCTACCCCTTGCCTCTCTGAATCTCAGAATGACATGTAGATATTGGACTTTGCTAAGGGTAACAACCTTTAACCCTGAGGTTAAGATTTTAATCTCTTTCATCTACCCACATCCCTCAAAATAAAATTTTCTAGAGGCTTAACTTTTGGAAGGGAATATACTTAGGTAATAGCCCTCAACCATTTTTTTGCTGTTGCTCACTGAACATCTCTTTGATATCCTGAGTAAAAAATGAACTTTGAGAACTTAGGGGAAAATTTTGTTTTTTCCCTCAGCAGAGCCTATATTTAAAATTACTGTAATTACCATTATTCCCAAAATGTTAAGTCAGAGAATCAAAAATGGTCAGTAACTCTTATTCCAGGCCATATTTTTGTTCCTCTGAAGGAATGTACGCCTTTTTTTTAAGAGCTAGAAATACTCAGAAGAGCATGATTGAAAAGAAAGAAATATATGTGGAAATATTTTACATATATATCATCTTTGGGTTTTTATCTGTTGATTCATTTTAGAGCTTGGACTCTGGAGACAGACTGCATGGATTTGGGTTTGAATCCTGGTTCTTCTGTGTACTGCCTCTGTGGTCATAAGCATTACTTTTCCTCTTTGTGCTGCCCTCTGTGTGTAAAATAAGGATAATAGTATCTCTATAATTACACAAGGATGTTAGTAAATGAGCTAATGTTTACAAATTTCTTAGAATAATTCCTAGCATAGTATAAGTTCTATAAGTAGTTAATAAGAATGG